CTCCAATCAGTTAGTCTGTGTTTTCCCTTAGGCAGGGATTCTCTGTGTAGCCCCAGCTGTTCTAGAACTCACTCTGTAGACCATGCTGGCCTTGAACACAGTTCTGCCTGCCTCTGCCTCCCTAGTGTGCACCACCACTGTCCAGCACAGGAGGGGAACAGCAGCAGGCACGGATGGAGGGTCTGTGTCTTTTTATTGGGGAATTGAGAGCATTAATATTGAGAGTTATCAATGAGCAGTGTTTATTGATTCTTGTTATTTTGTTGTTGTTGTTGTTGTTGTATGGGTTTTTTTCCTCCTCTTTTGGTCTGCTGGTCTGCAGGTGCTGGAGCATGCCATTCTGCCAATGCCAATGACTTATTAGAGAAAGTGAATAGTGATGGACGAGGAAGGAACAATGCAGGAAGACAGTAGCAGGTGGTTTCTGGCATCATGTGGAGGCATAAGCTTGTCACTGTGGGAGTACCTCTTCAATCATGTAAGAAGAGGGCATAAAAAGATGGGTCCAGACGTAGTAAAGCTTAGGAGTTTAGTGGCAGGAAGATGAAGCAGTTCCCCCGGGAAACTTTGCCAAGTGAAGTATTTTTTAGGCAAGCAGGGGGAGTGGGGAGGGAGGGGTAGGTTTGAGCAGACTGTTGGAAATGGCCCTGGGAGGAGTTTAGTGAGCACTGGAGGAGCAGTGTGCTCACTGCCAGGCCCATTGAACCGTGCTCCTTCCTCCTGTTTTAGGTGTTTACTTTAGCCAGTTCAGGGCTGGGGGTGTCCTGTGGAAAGCTAGCTGTACTGTGGCTGTGGCCTGGAGGAGTAGAGCTCTGTCCGCGGGCCAGAGTAAGAGTCAGCAGCAGGGCAGGCAGCTGCCTTCGGGCAGTCCCCTTGTCCCAGATCTGCTGATGTAAACACGGCTGGAAGGCTGTTTCCAGCACGGTGCAGTCCCCATGGGGACAGGGACTGCTCTAAGGTTTGCTTGCCAGCCAAACATTCTTGGCACACAGAGCTTTCTTGGGAAGGTTGTGTTTGGGGTCTTTGCGTGTGGTTGATTCGCTCTGCACTGAGCTGGCCCATCTGTCGTTCCCTTGGCTGCTTCCTCTCTTTATGTTGTGTATGGATCATACTGTGTGGGGGTAGACGGGTGCACTGGAGCATATGCTAGCCTGCGATAGGAAGTCCTACACAGGTTAGAACTCCTGCTCTACTTTTTTTCTCTGTGTGACATTGCAGGAGCTCACTGAATGTGGAAAAGCTAATCAACCAAGCGGAAACTTACTAATGAGTATTTACTGCAGTGCTTAAGAGAAACGCATTAGCCAGCAATTGCAGATAAACTCTGTCCTCAGTCACCCACAGCAGACTGGTAAGACAGACAAGGTGATAAGGTGGGGTATAATATCGATGTATAGAATCAGTTAAATTGAAAGTCTACAGAAGTGAGTAGGTTTGCGAGTTCAGAGAAGTTGTCTTACCTTCTCAGCCTTTCTCCTTGTTTTTAGACAATAGATGCTTGGGGTCACATAGATAAGGTGACTGACATAGTGCCTGGACATAGACCTCCATAAAATTAATTCACTGCATAAAAACACCTTTTACATTCCATGCTTCCTTTGACAGCAGAGTGGTCTCATCTCTTAACGCCGGTTGTATAATACATACTTCCAGTTTGTGTAGCGATTTTTCCATGATTCTGTTACGTGCATTAAGTTTACTATTTTACTTGATCCTCACAAGTAGCTCCCAGATGTGGGAGGACTCGTGTCTACTTTGCAGAAGAGGAAGCTAAAATATAGAAAGATCCATTTTCCATTTTCTCTCTCTCTCTCTCTCTCTCTCTCTCTCTCTCTCTCTCTCTCTCTCTCTCTCTCTTTATATAGAGCAAACATTCCTCTTGTTGTTGTTGCTATTTTCTGTTGTGGTTTTGTCTTTGGAGACAGGGCCTCACTGTGTAGATCTTGCTGGCCTGGAACTTGCTGTCGTCTAGACCATGCTGGCCTCAAACTCATGGAAAGCTGTCTGCTTCTGCTTCTGCTGAGTGCTGGGATTAAAGGTATGAGCTACCATGCCCAGCAAAGATCTGTTTTCTTGATGCCTGGCAACTAGTAAATAGTAGCATGAACTCATGCAAACAGCCTCGCAGCTGGATATTAGTAATGGTAGCAGATCTGTAATACCACTAGCATCAGTAGCAAAAGTACAAGTATGGAGAGCTTGTATTAGCTGGGAATGGTGGTTCATGCTACAATCCCTGCACTTAGGTGGTGGAGGCATGAGGGTCAAGAATTTGAACCAGCCTAGGCTATATGGTGAAATTCTTTTTTCAAGAGAGAGATGTCATTTTGATGGCAATGAGATTTTTTTGGTCTTCAAATATGGTAAGATTTCAGTAGGGGGAAAGGGATGACCCCTTTCCAATTCAGGGAGTGACTGAGCAAAAGCTCAGAGTCTGGACAGAGACAGCATTGCTTCTAACACTAGCCCTGTTTGACCCTGCCAGGTATGTGCCTCACAGGGAAATAATATAAAATGAGACCCCAGAAGACAGGCTGCCTTAGACATGTAAGAACTAAATACTGTAGTATGCTGCTGCTTACAAGTTTATCAGGATCTGGTATGCCCGCCTGGACCTGAGGACATCAGCTGGGTTAGAAATAAAAATTTGAGATTTGTGTTGTAGAGGGTATTAAATATATATATATATATATATATATATATATATATATATATATATATATATATATACACACACACACACACACACACACACACACACACACACACACACACACACATATATGGAGTCTAGGGGATGACTCAGTCGATAAAACACTTGCTGCAAAAGTGTGAGAACCAGAGTAAGGCTCCTTAGCACTTAATGCCAGTGCCTGGTGGGCTGGTGGCTCTCTTAGAATCCCAGTGCTTGGAACACAGAGGTGAGATCCCTGAAGCAAGCTGGCTAGTTAGACTAGACGAACTGGGGAGCTCTGGGTTCAAGTGAGAGACCTGTCTTAATAATAAAGTAGAGAGGGATCGAGGAAGACACATGACGTCAACCTTGGACACTCCCCCCCATGTGCCCACAGACATGCAAACACTCATACATGTATATATACACCATGCACACATAAACATACAGAACAATTATAATGGACATTCTTACAGAGCTGTCGAGTCTCTTCATTGTTTCATATGCAAAGCTTTTTGCCGATCCTCATGATACGTTTGTCACTGGGGTGGGCAAGTCAAACATGCCCACTTCAGAATGGGTACTTCTTCAGTGGCCATACCACACAGAACACTCCCAATAGCATCAGAATGGGTACTGAACTGTGGTCTCTTCCTCTTGTACGGACTGAACAGTGAAGGTCAGCAGCACTCCTCAGTGACGTGTCCTGTTCACAAAGCCAGTGTGTGCTGGAGCTGCAACTGGGATGAGCTCCATGCTCACAGTTCCCTCAGCTTGGCATGCTCTTGCAGTCGGCCCAGTAGTCTTTCCTGTGGAACTCTTCCAAGGAACGTTTGAGTGCCTACTTACTGGACACAGGAATGCAAAGACAAGAATGTGTACAAAGCCCACCAACCACTGGAAAAACTACACTTTCACATCTTTAAAATAAGTGAAGAAATAAAACAAAGCAGAATAGAGCGTGGCAAGGCCAGAAGCAGTAGTGAGTGTGCAAGCATTATGGGATGGGGTGAGGAAGAGTGTAGCTTCACTGCGAAGGCAGTGTGAACACATTCAAATTACATTCTCACAGATGGCCTGGGTCTCACCCTTAGCACTCCCAGGATATCAAGTGTTAGTGGACACACTGGAACTAATGAGCCTTATAAAGGGACAAGCGGTGCCAATGAGTGCAAGCCAGTACAGGTGTGCCAGCGTGGGAGCGTGCTGAGATCTTCCAGGGAACAGCGGGAGGAGGATGGGAGCTGACAGCCAACAGCTGCTGTCCCTCTACAGCCCACCACTGCATCCACACAGAGGTGACACTCCCTCTGAGTCCCGGACCAGAGTCAGAGCATTGAAGAAGGCACCAGAGCAGGGCCATTACTGTCCAGCCTGGGAGTACCAGGTACTCAGGAGCCTGCTCACGTCTTCTCAGAGGTGCCCTGCCTCCTGGGGCTTCCTGTCCACTTCTTTCCTTCCACAGCACAGTGCCCTGTGTGAGGCTTTCCCTACATACTCTTGCTTCCTCTCCTTTCTGAATTGGGGAGGCAGAATGGAGGGAAGGGGAGGGGAGGGGAGGGGAGGGGAGGGGGTGCAGCAAGAATAGATGTTTGGGGCAATGCCTTTGTTTTGGGAGGAAAGATGGGGAATGAAGGACAGACAGCCCAGTGGGGGTGAAATACCAGAAAGCCCTGCGATCAAGTTGTAGGGAGAGTAAATTCCAGGAAGACAATCCCCTCCTGGATTCTAAAGAGAAATGAAAAGTGGTGAGAATTATTCAGCCACACATTTGATTTTGGAAAACATCAGCAACAACAAAAAAAATATTGAGTGAATGTATAAACAGAGACCAGGGAACCATTCAGGCAAATAAAAGCCCCAGTTCTTAGGTACTTTTGCCCAGCAAAAGTAAGTGGATTTATGTGTCCAGTTATTTGCTTGCTTTTTGGTACAGACTCTCCCTGTGGGGTACAAAGTGGCCTCCAATTTTCTATGTGCTCAGACTGGCCCCAGCCTCCCAAAAACTGAAATGACAAGCATGTGCCACCACGCCTGGTGAAAACGTAGTGTTCACTCACTGCGAAACCAGTCCTGCAGGTCTTTTCCTTGTGGTTTGTCCGTCTCCAGCAAGCGTTTCCACGGGTGCCAGGGAAGGGGGTGATGTTCAGGGGGAGAGGAAGGGAAGGGGTTTTTTATCTTGATTTTTTTTTTTTTAGGTTAGCATACAGTGATGGGTTTAACTATGCCATTTTCATACAAATCTGTCCTCATCTCTTTTATTCCCCCACCTGAATGTCCTCAGGGATTTTTCTTTTTTCTTTTTTTTTTTTTTTTTTTTAAAAAGGTCTGACAGTGTGGGATGGGGAGTGAGACCGCTCCTGAGGGTGTGGAAGAGGAAAATGGCATGAAAGAAGACTGGGTAAGCCAGAAGACTTTCTCTGCCACGTGGCAATTAGGGGCCCAGGACAGCTCTTCAAAGGGAGGGGCAGGGCCAGGACCTTTAAGCCTATCCAATGTTTTAACTTGGCAAATTGCGGTGAGTGAAGGGAGACAGGTGTGGACTGGAGGAGACTGAACTCATAAGTGCTTTGGGGACCCTGCCATGTTGTCTTCCCTGCCCTCTGACCTGGGAGTCGAGGTCACCCTACTCCCTTGAATCCTTTGCATTTACCAGCTTTGCCAAGAACATGTGAAGTGCTTGCTGCTGTCTTATCTGGGCTACAAGCCCTTTAAGGAGGGTCTGCCGTGTGGTTAATGTTGGAATCCCTGACTCCAGCATGGTGTCTGGCGCAAAGCCACTGTCTGTTGGAAGGAAAACACAAAAATATTCAACACTCTGGAAATTTTGATCTAAGAGCTTGGTGAGGAAAAAGAATCTATTATATTTTTTAAAGAAAACATTTATTTACTTCTAACCCTTTTAAAGTATACAGTTCAGTTGTGTTAAGCATGCTCGCCCCCCACCCACCCACAGAATATTTTCCACCAGGAAAATCTTCATACCTCTTCAATACTCTGTCTCCATTCTGCTCCCCCAGCCCCCACAGTCACTGCCGTACTTCTTGTCTCTGTGACTTGACTGTTTGAGGTGAAGACTTAAGGCAGATCAGCCATGCTGTAGCATAAATCACAACTTCTTCCCTATTTCTTATTTATTCATTGATTTATGGTGTGTGTGTGTGTGTGTGTGTGTGTGTGTGTGTGTGTGTGTGTGCATTCACAGAAGCCCGAGGAGGATGTCAAGTGTTCTGTTTTATTCCCTTGAGAGTCTCTCACCAGGCCTGGAATGAGGCTGGTGGCCAGCAATCCCTAATTATCCTTCCATCCCTGTCCCGCCACCACATACACACACATTGGTGAGGTTACAAGCATGTGACCACACTCCGTTGGTTTTTTGTGTTCATTTGTTTGTTTGTTTTTGTGCAGGTACTGGGAATTTGAACTCGGGTCCTTATGATTGAATAGCAAGCTCTCACCCTCTGAGTCATCTCCCCAGGCCCATTTCTTTCTCCTTTAATAATATCCCCAAATAGGGTTGTACCATATTTTGTTTATCTGTCTTCCAGTGGAATTTGGGTTGTTTCTACATGTTGGCTATAAATAATGCTGCTGTGAATGCAGATTACAAACACATCTTTAAGATCCTGTTTTGAATTCTTAGGGGAATATCTAGACTCTGCTCCCCCCGCCCCCCCCCCCCCCCCCCCCACACACACACCAGCTCTTGGAGTAAAAACACAGCTAGATCTGAAACCCTCTGACCGACCGTGGAGACATATAGTGAGGAATTCAGGCTTTAGGGCAAGCACAAGGTTCAGGAAGGAGATGAGAAAAGATGTAAGATAACCTGATTCCTTAAGTGGAGATGACTTCACCTGCTGACCAGAGCAGTGGCAGGGGAAAGTTGAATCTGGGGCTTGAGGGGAGAGGAGAGTCATAGCAGCTGTTGAGGGGAATGCAATTGGAAGATGACAAGACATGGGGTCGGACGGAAAAGACCAGCCAAGAGCCAGTGCTGTGTGTCTGTATGTGTTGGCCGAGATGGGGTGAAAGCAGAGGAAGCCCCTGTTTTGGAGACAGAGTCTCATGTAGCCTAGGGGGCCTCAAACTTGTTGTGTTGTCTAGAGTAACTTGGATCTTCCCATCCCCCGGCCTCCACTTCCCAAGTGCTGGGATTACAGGCCTGCACCATCATGCCTGGTTTACGGGTCACTAAGGATAGGACCCAGGGCCTTGTGCGTGCTAGGCAAGTAGTCTACCAACCGGACTATGTCCCACGCTAACTTAAATTCCAGCTCACTTGTGGGTAGGGAGTAAAGAAAGCTTGTGGTAAATGTGCTTAGAAATGATCCTTACAGAAGGCTATGGAAGTCTGCCAGAAGCCAGGCAGAATTTACAGGTGCCGGGCTGGGTCACATGGTAGGGTCCAGGGCTATAGAGGAAGGTGGAAAAAAATGGATACTGAAAGTGACCCAGCTTTGTAACTGGGCCAGAGGATGTGGCAGAAGGCCAAGGCAGGAAAGGGCAGCTAAATGCCAAAGAAGTGCTGAGTGTGGCATACCCAAACAAACCTAGGTCCCCACAGAGGCTCCCTAAGAAACAAGGAGGGCCACCACACAGCCATAGCAGCATTACTGTTCTATCAAATCACTCCCTTGCATCCTCCCGGCCTGTCCTTCCCATGATCCTGCTCTGCTCCCAGACTGCCCATCTTCCTAGACACCGGGAACTTTCCTCACCATCAAGATCTCCTTAGGGAGCGTCTCCCCTTGGGCTGGTCTCATTGCTTCCTCCCTGCATTCACTGCCTGGCCCCAGGCCTACCTATAACAGAAACCTAAGACCTCAGGGAGTCCCTTTGGTGACTCTGTGGGCTGACGGCACTTCCAGACTTTCTCCACTGTCCTAGGTCACTATGTAGCTGTGGGCTGAAGGGAAAGTTTCCAGGGATCTCACTTTTGAGCTTTAGAAGCCATTGGCCTGAAACACCCACTCCCCCCATCATCTTCTCTTCCTCCTAGATAACCAACATGTCTCAAGAGCTGGAACTTCCTTTGTCTAATGACAAAACTGTTCTTTTCTCCCTGGGATGCGCCATTCTGCCTCGGTCCCTTTGGGCATTGTTCTTCTCTTTCCCTTGCTTCGTGGGTCTCTCTGCTTTACAAGAGTAATTGCTCTGTCTGCCTCCTGCCTCTCAGGGAAATCTGTCCATTGCAGCCTGCTGTTTGCTGTCTATCACCTCTCCTTGCTTCCTTGAACTTTGGGCTGCCCCCACGCCCCGCACATTGCTGCCGTTCTGGAACTGGATAGAGACCTGTTTTGTTTTTCTAAGCAGCCTCTTACACTAGCATGTTGCCGAGCACTTTTTATTCTCTCTCTCTCTCTCCCTCCTTCTTCTCTCCTTGCAGACATGTTAGAGGCCCTCCCACGGGCTGTCCACCTAAGGCAGCCACTGCTCTCCTGAGGCATTGAGTATTCACATGACAGTGTCACACACTTGCAAATGTGCTGGCAGCCAGGTAAACAGACAGGTTTCTTGGGGGTGGGGGGCGGTGCTCAGAGGGTGTGGAGGGAATTCACTGGGTATAGTAAGTCAAATAGTCAAGCAGTTAACTGTAAAAGATGGCCTAAAGAAAGAAATTAAGTATAAAAGAAGATGTCCTCTTGGTTTTCCTTCTGTCTGGTGTGAGGCAACCCCCTCGTAGACTGTGCTCAGGACCCTGCTTGCTCCGTTTCCAGTCTTCTACTTGGGCCAGTGTCTGCCAAGTCCATGCCTCCTGTTTGTCTCTGTAAACTAGTAAGATTCCCTGGCTTTCTGTGTTTGCACTGTCAGAACTCCCTGGAGAGCCCGACTGTTTTGATTCTTGCCTGCCCCAGATAGAACACCCCTTGCCAGCTTTGGTCCCATTTGAGACTGACCAACCAGGGGCATGGTGGCCAGGCCTTCCCTCTCTGTCCAGCCCTTCATAGGTGGTCCTATTGGACAGGGCAAAGGGAGAGCAGAGCAGAGTTCCCAGGAAACATTTGAAGGATACTTGTCCTTATGTGGCAGGAACAGGAGGATGGAGAATTTCCAAGAAAGGAGTGGAAAGATTTAGAGTAAGTTCTTTGCAATATGAATAAAAGAAATAGGAGAGTGAACATGAACACCAGTCAAATAGTTAAGGATCTTGTGGCTTGTGGCTTCCAAACTGACCCACATGTTAAGAAATGAAGATAAATCTTGCAGTCAAATGCTGGAGCAGAACATAAGAGTGTGGGTGACTTGGTGGCCATCTAGACCCTCAGCTCACCACTGGTTTAAATGTTACTCTATAAACAGGAATGCTACTCTTTTGCTGACCGATTGTACAGATTTTTTTTTTTCACTTCAGCTGCATGCATGCTTGGTGCTAGATGCCACAGGGGTTGCAAAACAGCACAACCCAAGGACCTTCTCCTGATAGCTGCAGTCATCACAGAAGTCAGGACACAGCTCCAGAAGGCCCTGCACAAGAGCACATGCTTAAACTGGCCAGTTCCCACATGTCTGTCATCACAGCTACTCTCCAGCTGAGGCTTCAGGATCCTAAGTTTAAGGCTTTATGAGCTACAGAGTGAGTTCAAGACCAGCCTAGGTAATTTAGTGAGGTCCTGTCTCAAAATAAAAGCAAAATAGTTCTGGGGCTGTTCTCAGCAGTAGAGTGCTTGTGTTTAATACACGAGGTCCCATATTCAATCAATACCTAGTATCACAAAATAAAGTATGTGATTGAGTATGAAAAAGTTAGGACCGTGGACTTCCATGGTGGAGTCCCAGGCAGGTGGAGGGATTGCATGAGCATGTGAATATAGGCCTCAAAAGGAGCATGGTGGTAAGAAGACCAAGGAAGAGACACTCCTCAGTGCATGATTTACTGCATTCTAATTACAATGGCAAACTCTACCTAGCTGTCTCCAGTTAAAGTCAGAGAGCAGGGTGTTTGCTCTCTTCTGCGACCACCAGAGACTCTGCAGGAGATGGTTCAACAACGAACCCCTGGTTTCTGGTTGTTAGGTCAGGACCAGCTATGGTGGGTTTCAGATAATATCCTTACCAGAGTGCAGATTTGGAAGGTGTATGCTGTGCATTGGAGAGTAAGCATATAGTCACGAAGCTTTCAGCTCCAGGAATGGGGGGCTAGGCTAATAATAACTTTATTGATGAACATATTTAATTATTCCACACAACAGATGTGGTGCCACATGCCTGTAATCCTAGCACTTGAGAAGGGCAGGCAGAGGATTAGGAGTTCAAGATGAGCCTTGACTGTGTAGCAAGTTGAGGACCAGCCTGGGCTATATATCTCAACTGGAGGGAAAAGTCTAGAGTGCTGTAACTGCCCACACATGCCCATCTTCAGCGGGGTACTTTTGCATGTCATGGGCTAATCTCACTGCATTCACAACATGATGGCTGCAGTCGGTCATGAAACTGCATTTCCAACACGGAGAAGGGGGCAAGGGCCAAAGATGTTTTCCCTGTCTACTCTGTCTTTCCAGTCACAAAGAAACTTCCTGCCAAAGCCATGACAAAACACTTATCCAGAAACCATACTGGCCAGAACTAAGTTATATGCTATGCCCTACAACAAGTTAAACCAGAGGCTGGAGAGATGGCTCAGCGGTTAAGAGCACTGGGTGTTCTTTCAGAGGTCCTGAGTTTCAGAGTTCAATTCCCAGCAACCACATGGTGGCTCATAACCATCTGCAATGAGATCTGTCGCCCTTTTCTGGCCTGCAGGTGTACATGCAGACAGAACACTGTATACATAATAAATAAATAAGATTTAAAAAAAAAAAGTTAAACCAATCATAATTTTCCACGGCCCTAGTAGACCATGACAGCTTCCAAAAGGTCAAGGGGCTCTACTTGCTACCTCAGTCAAACCAGAGAAGGGTGTGAGGATGGTGGGTGAGTAGTCAATGACCTGTATCTGCCTCATGTGCCCCTTCCCATTGGCTCCTCCTTGACTGTAGCCTTTGAGTACAATCCTAAAATTAATCCCCTACACATACACATAATGGATCTGAATTGTACAAGGACAGCAAATCAAAATTCTAATCAGCACACTTTTATTCTGAAAAACCTATTGGTTATAGTCCATAAGATTGGTGAATGAGGAGCTGAAAAGATGACTCAGAAGTTAAAGGTACATAGGACTGCGGTTGTGTTCCCAGCATCCACATTTGGTGGCTCACGACTGCCTGTAACTCTAGTATCAAGGCATCTGATACCCCCTCCTGGCCTCCAAAAGGGCCCACATGTGTGTATACAGAAATAAATAATGCACATAATATAAATAAAAACAAAATGAATCTTTCTTTCTTTTTTTTTTTTTTTTGACAGAATCTCACTATATAGCTTTGGCTCCCTGACTGGACTGGAACTTTCTATGTAGTCCTAGCTAACCTTGAACTCACAGAGATCTGCATGCCTACTAGGGCTAACCGTGCATGCCATCACGCCTGGCAAAATAAATATTTAAAAAAAGATTGGCAAATGAATGTGTATTTATGTACAAAGATTGTTTATATAGATACTACTTTTTTGTCTCCTCTCCTGAACTAAAGTTAACCTACAAGTGTCTGGTCCCAGCTGTTTTGATAAGAATACTTCTTTTAATTGTTGGTTTCTTTACTGGAGCTCCCTGTTCAGTTGAAATCTCAAGGGCAGGATTTAGTGTTCCATCTTAAGCTCTCAGACTGGAGGATCTACTGTAGCTGTAAGCCACTCACACTCCCTGAGCCCTGGAAGTATGGGATGCACGAGCTAAACTTTTAATCTTGTTAAGTCTTAATTTGTTTAAATATAAAGTGTTACTCAGCCCTTAACCATGCTTATAATAATTTGGGTATGTGAATCTCCTCTTCAGCCATCCATGCTGTGAAACCTTAAATGTGGTTCAATCCTATAAGATGAAGGTTTGTTATGTTGGCTGAGATTATTGTACGTGTAAAACTACCACTGAACACCTGTATGGAAAAGAGTTTAAAAACTCTCAATTTGTATATAGGTTGTTTGTTGAAATGGTAACATTTCAAATATACTTGTTTTTTTTTAATGTATTAAAAATGTAATTTTACTTGTCTTTATCGTTTTTTGTTGTTTGTTTTTTTGGGTAGGGTCTCTTTGTGTAGCCCTGGCTGGCCTGGAACTTGTTGTGTAGACTAGGCTGGCATCAAACTCACAGAAATTTGCTGACCCCTGCTTCCTGGATGCCACGATTAAAGGCATGCGCCCCCATGCCTGGCTTCCTCACTGTTCTTTTGGAGGTGGAAAATGATAAATCACACATGTAGCTGATTCCTATTTCTCTTGGGAAGCACTGATCTCACAAACGGGTCACTGCAAGTGTTTGTTGAATGAATACAGAAACTCCAGCCTGAGTCACAGGATTCCTGATTTCCATGTCCCTTCCTTCCCATCATTCCTTGCAGCCTCTGATGTCGCTTGCTAGCTTCCCGATCTTGCTGGCATATTCACCTGCAAGAAAGGAGCTTTGCTTGTGGGAGTTAGCTTTGAAAACTCTAGGAGGGAGGAAGATGTGCCCGTGTTGAGGGCCTATAAAAGGCATGGCTTGTAGGAAAACTGAGCCTTTTTGGTGGAGCAAAGTTAGGATGTTAATTCTTTGCCATTTCTGGGTGTCCATGTAGAAATCTCCGTTCAGCTCATTGGATGTGCTCATTCTGATCAGTGTGCATTTCATAAAAGGGTGGGGACTGAACTTCTGTGGTGCCTTGCTATCCCCAAAGCATCCACAAACTATCCACAAACTACCTGGGCTGTGTGACTGCACATAGAGAAGAGAGAAATGTCACCACCCAGTCTGGGCACCAGAAGGGGTTTCCTGGGAAGATCTGCTCTGTCTGAGCCTGCAAAAACCACACCCCAGCTTCCAGGGGCCTAGCAAGGAGCTAGCCACTGCTCTCCAGATACATGGAAAAAAGGATATATATTGAAATGCTAACAGTGAGTCACCGTGGGCGAGATTAGGTGTGGCTTTATTTTCTTCTTTATATTGTAGTCTTAAAATGTGTAATTATTTACTATTTCTAAAACAAAATTTTAGAAGATATTTGTGCAGGGGTACCATTTCTGTTCCTGGAGCTAATTTTGAGATATTCTTAACCCAGCTCCCCATTCAACCTCTCTAGATTTCCTTACATACTCATTTTGGCTTTGTTACAGTAGATTCTATCTAAAATTTTGAGCCAGTTTGTAGCAGTTTAGGACCTACTGTGTGGGCACTTGCTTCCTGGTATCATGTGGATAGAGGATGCTCTTCCCCTCTCAAGCTATTGGGAAGGTATATGAGATGGAGTGTGGGGAGTCTGGGTTTGGGCTAGACCATACACCAGCGGAGCTGTTCACTCTGGACTTCATCCCCTCACAATTCTCTGCCTTATGTAGTGTTGTTTAATATAACTATTCAGTTCTTCAATGTTTTATTTTATTTAGTGTGTGTGTGTGTGTGTGTGTGTGTGTGTACAGGTGTGTACATTCCACAGCACACCTATGGTGGTCAGAGGATGACTTTTGGGAGCCAGCTCTGTCCTTCGAAGCACTGTGGTTCTGGCCTCAAACTCCAGCTGTCAAGTTTGTGCACCAAGAGCCTTTAACTACTGAACCATATTGCCAAGCCCATTTCTTTTCTTTTTAAAAAGAATTTCATTGTGTATGTTTATGGTACACGGCACTGTGTTATATAGGATGCTCTCACACAAGTATACATGCTACACTTGAGTGTACTTCCCTCCTGTCGTCCCCCCGCCCCGCCCCGCCCCATTTCTGGTCCATACCCTTCATTGGTCTCTTTTGTTCCTCTGGATGACCCTACTTCTCCTTTCATTGTTGGGCCCTGGTCCCCGTTCCTTGGGTAGCTGTTGCCTTACTTGCTGACCTTGATCAGATGTCCTCCCTATGCTGATTTCCTGCCGGTTTCCTTCCTCCTAAAACAGCTTACTGGAGGTTCCTTGTTTGTGTACCCTGCATTTGGTGTAAACAGCTAGGATGCACGAATGTAAAACATCTGTAGCGAACTTCTGCCCTCCGGGGTTCTCCCACTGTGCTGTAAGCCTGTATTTAAGGTTTTCTCCCTCCTTCAATAAATGGCATTTGTCATTCTACTGAGATGAACAACCTGCTGTCTTGTCTCTGTTTTAAATCCTCAGCCCCTCGCTCAAACATGGTGAACGGGTGGTAGCGCGGCACTACATTTCATGTCATATCTACCTATATGAACGTGTCCTTTTTAATTATGATAAAATATGTGTCATATCTACCTATATGAACATGTCCTTTTTAATTATGATAAAATATGTGTATTATTAAGTGCCTGTAATCCCAGCACTCCAGAGGTGATGAGCAGGAGAACAGTCATAAGTTCAAAGTCATCTCTGAGCTATATAATACTTGGTTTCAATAATAATAATCACATTTGCCATTTTGATGATTTTAAGTGTACATTTGTAGATGGACTTTTCTTTCCTGCCTGTCAGTTCCCAAATAACCGGCATGGAGACTGAATATTAATTATAAATACTTGGCCAGTAGCTCAGGCTTGTTACTAGCTAACTCTTACATTTTAAATTACCCCATATTTCTTATCTACACTCTGCCACGTGGTTCAATACCTTTTCTTAGTACAACAAGTTCATCTCTTTCTCTCCTCATCTCCTCCTGATTCTATGAGACTCCTCTTCCTTCTTCCGGCTCTCTTTTTTTTCTGCAAGTCCCACCTAACCTCTACCTGTCCAGCTATTTGCCATGTGGCTCGAGGTATGTTACCTCATTTTCTACATGTCCTGCTTCCTCTGTGTCTCACTCAAGACTCCTCAGACTCTGCCCTTCCTCTTCCTAGCATTCTCTCTGTTCCTCAAATCCTGCCTAGCCTCGACCAATCAGCTTTTTATTAACAATGAGAGCAACACATTTTCACAGTGTACAGAAGGATTATTCCACAGCATACATTGAATGCAATGGTGTTAAGTATATATACATTGGTGTGCAACAGTCACTACTACCCATTTTCAGAATCTTCTCTGTCTATTGAACTATAACTCTGTATGCTCCTGGCCCTACTCCCAGCCCCTGGTGACTACCATTCTTTCTGCCTCTGGAATTCATCTACTCTAGGTCCCTCAAATGAGAGAAATCAGTGTCCTGTGACTGGCTTATTACACCTGGAAGCCCTCAAAGTCCATCATGCTGTAGTATACGCCAGAACTGCCTTTCTTCAAGGCACTGCATATTGGTGTACATTTCTTGTCTGCCCACTGGATAAAGGAGTACCTGGGCTGCTTCTGTCTTTTTGGCTTTTGTGAACAGTGGTACTCTGAACATGGATGTATAAACATCTGTTTGAGAAATTCTTTTTCTCAAAGCAGATTTGCTGGATCATATAATGATTCTATTTTTTCAATTTCTGTAGATTCCCCCAAATTATTTTCTAAAAAAGCTGTATCTTTTTTCCTCATATGGTGTTGTTTTAATTAACACTTCTTATTTAGGTTGTCGTCTTCCTGAGATCAAGCACCCTGTTACATTCACTTCTAAATCTCTGAAGTACTGCAAATATTCATATGTCTGTGAATGAAAGTCATTATTCCCAAGCTACTAGCACAGTGGTTTTCAACCTGTCAGTTTCAACCCTTTGGGAGTTGAATGACCTTTTCACAGGAGCTGCCTAAGACCATCAGAAAACATAGATACTTACATTATAATTCATAACAACAACAGAATTACAGTTATGAAGTAGGATTGAAAATAACTTTATGGTTGGGGTCATCACAACATGAAGAACTGTATGTTTTTGAAGATACAAACATTAGCAGTGTAAATCATAGGATTCGGGTGTAAATCATAGGACCAGAGTGCTGAGCCCAAGGAATGCCACAGTCTATAGATGAGCTCCTAGGACAGTGATTTTCAACCTTCCTAATGCTGCTGCCCTTTAATTTAGTTCCACATGTTGTGGTGACCCCCAATCATAAAATTGAAGAAGATATTAGAAGATGGAAAGATCTCCTATGCTCATTGACCACTAGTATCAATATTGTGAAAATTGCCATCCTACTAAAGACAATCCATAGATTCGACACAAAAGCAATCTACAGATTCAAAGCAAGCCCTAACAAAATTCCAATACAATTCTTCACAGATATTGAAAGAATAGTTTTCAGATTTATATGGAAACATGAAAAAAAAGCAGGATAGCTAAAACATCCTGAATGGTAGAAGAACTGCCAGGGAGGGGGATCACGGTCCTAAATTTCAAGTTGTATAATAGAGCTATAGTTTAAAAAAAAAAAGCATGGTATTAGCATAAAAAGAGACACTCCGATTAGTGGAACTGAACATCCAGATATAAGTCCACATACCTACAGACACCTGATTTTTGACAAAGAAGCCAAAAATACATACTGGAAAAAAGACAACATTGTCAACAAATGGTGCTGGTCAAACTGGATGGCTGCATGTAGAAGAATGCAGATAGATCTGTATTTATTACCTTGAACAAAACTTAACTCCAAGTGGATCAAAGACCTCAACATAAGGTCAGATACACTGAACCTGATGGAAGAGAAAGTGGGGAGTAGCCTTGAATGCATTGACATAGAAGACTTTCTGTACAGAACACCATTAGCACAAGCACTAAGACCAACAATGAATAGGAGGGACCTCATGAAACTGAGAAGCTTCTGCACGGCAAAGGACACCATCATTGTTTAAACTGGCAGGCCATAGAGTGGGAAAACATCTTTACCAATTATCTATCTGAGTGTTAGTATCTAGAATATGTAAAGAACTAAAGAACCAACATTATGAAAGCAAATAACCCAATTTAAAAATGGTGTATATTAACTAAGCAGAGAGTTCTCAAAAGATGAAAACTGGGAAATCCAGATTAAAGCTAATTTGAGATTTCCTCTTATAGCCAACACCAGGCAAAATGTAAGAGCTAACCAGTGGACCCAAGGAATTCTAATGATTAGTGAAACAGTCAGTGTTTCAAGCCCCTAAGTTCTGGAATGTTTCATTATGCAATGTATTAGTCAAGATTCTCTAGAGAAATGTAACCGATAGATGAATATAGATATGGGATTTATTAGAGTGACTTACAGGCTGTGGTCCAGCTAGTCTAACAAGGGCCATCGACCAATGGAGAGTCCAAGAATCCAGTAGTTGTTTAGTCCATGAGTCTTAATGTCTCAGCTGGTCTTCAGTGTATGTCAGAATCCGAAGAACTAGGCTCTAATGCCAGTGAAGAAATGGACTTGGCCGTGAGAGAGAAAGCATGTGGACAAAGAGCAAATGCTTCCTTCTTCCATGTACTGTATACAGGCTGTCTCCAGAAAGTGTGGCCCAGATTAAAGGTAGATCTTCTCACCTCAAAGGATCCAGAATAAAGGTGGATCTTCCCACTTCAAGTGACTTAATTAAGAAAAATCCCCACTGGGCGGTGATAACAGAGGTCTCTAACGCAGCACTCTGGAGACAGAGGTAGGTGGATCTCAGAGTTCAAGGCCAGCCTGGTCTACAGAGCAAGTTCCAGAACAGCCAGGACTACACAGAGAAACCTTATCTAAATCCTCCCCAGCTCCAACTCCACCCCACCCCCAAGTGTCATTAAAAAAAAAAAAGAACAAAAACAAACAAACAAAACTCCTTACAGGTGTACCTAACCACTTGGGTTTTAGTTAATTCCATATGTAGTTGACAGCCAAGAATAGCCATCACATGCAGTGACAAATATCTGAAACAAGAGGTTAGAAGACAGGCCAAGGCCTCCCAGCTTCTAAGTGGGAGAGCCAGGACTTGAGGCCAAGACTTTCCAAATACATTGCCCCTCCTCTGAAGAGCTACATGACCAGGCTGTAAGTTTTTGAAGATATAAACATTATTAACAGGAGTGTAAATTATAGGATCTGAGTGCTGAGCATAAGGAATGTCACAGCCTACAGATAAGCTCCTAGGACAGAAGAGAAAGATAATTATCAACCTAACTAAGAAAACTGCAATCTACAAAGGTGACCTCCCTGGGAGATATGTAGATGCAATGGTGTCACAAACATTGTGGGAGTAACCAACCACTTTCTGATTGTATTTGAGGCCCACTCCATGACAGGAACCCATGCCTGACACTGCTAAAGTGACCGAGAACCTGAGAGAAGATAGGCCATGGACCTAGGGGAAAACCAAATACTACTGTTCTCATGAATAAGCATCACAATCAAATGACTCCTAATGATGCTCTGCTATACCCATAGATCAGTACCTTGCTCATCCATCAGCAAAGAAGCTTTCTCATGCAGTAGATGAGAACTGGCACAGAGACCCACAACTGGGAAAAGGGCAGAGAGTGAGAGACTTTGAAGTACTCAATTATAAATGGGATGTCTCCATCAAAGCCCTCCCCTCGGGGCTCAGGGAGCTGTGAAGATGAGGAGGCAGAAAGATCATAAGAGCCAGAGGTGATAAATGACTCCAAGGAAACAGTGTCTTCCAGACACAACGTGACTGATGCACATGTGGACTCACAGAGACTGTGGCAGCATGCACAGTACCCGCACAGGTTCAAACTAGATGGCTGGGGTCCTGAGATGCGGAAGGTATCTGTAATGAATACCCACAGGCAGTGGGACATTTCATTCTCTCCAATGGAGTTACACTGGGTGTATTAACCACATAGTTTATGGCGGGCCACATACTCAGGAATAGTTGGCTGACACAAAAATGAACTCAGTGGTATTTTGCTTTATTTGGACAGTTTTTTGTCTTGTTGATCTTATGTTTGTATATTTTGATTTCTGTTTTTGTATTTTCATGAGGTCTGTGATTGTGGTTTGTGCCTTTTGTTTGTTTTTTAGAGAGAGAGAAAGGGTGTGGAGTTGGGTGGGTGGGGAGGTGGAGAGGATCTGGGAAGAGTTTGGGGAGGGGAAAAGTGTCATCAGAATATATTGTATGAGAATTACTTTCAACTAAAGTTAAAAACAAATAAAAGAACAAGCAAAAATAATTAAAAGAAGTCTTACTTTCAAATGCAATAATTTGTGGAATTTGGGCTTCAACATAAAAATTTGAGGGCAAATATGCTTTATTAGTACTCTATTACCCATTATATATTGTCATGTGTATTCATATATGTGTTTATATATATGCAAATGCAAATATTTTCTAACATTAGCATTTTGTTATTAATATCATCTGTCATA